CCTACGATAAAACCGACTTACGATGCTTGTCAGCGTAAAAATTTGACCCCAACCTACATTGAAAAACTTGACTTACATCATTCGTCCCAAATGAGGCCGTCTGGTCCGTCTGGCCTGAGCGCCTCAGCTGAGCTAGTGTGACATTGTTTACAAGCCAGGGTGGACGGTTGCACACATACATTCGATAAATTTTGTATTATTCTAGTGTTTTTAGTGCTTATAATTGCTAAATAAGCCACCATGGGGCCCAAAGAAAGCTTCTAGTGCCAACCTCCTGGTAAAAAGGTTGAGAAATATTATCGAAATACTATCGTACCACGGTCAGCTGCTGCTGCTGCTGCTATACCACGGTCAGCTGCTGCTGCTGCTGTACCACCGTCAGCTGCTGCTGCACCACGGTCAGCTGCTGCTGCTGTACCATGGTCAGCTGCTGCTGTACCACCTCAGCTGCTGCTGTAGCACCGTCGCTGCTGCTGCTGCTGTACCACGGTCAGCTGCTGCTGTACCACTGTCAGCTGCTGCTGCACCACAGTCAGCTGCTGCTGTACCGCTGTTAGCTGCTGCTGTAGCACCGTCACCTGCTGCTGTTGCTGTACCACGGTCAGCTGCTGCTGTTGCTGTACCATGGTCAGCTGCTGCTGCTGCTGTACCACCGTCAGCTGCTGCTGCACCACGGTCAGCTGCTGCTGTATCACTGTCAGCTGCTGCTGTAGCACCGTCACCTGCTGCTGCTGTTGTACCACGGTCAGCTGCTGCTGCTGCTGTACTACCGTCAGCTGCTGCTGCACCACGGTCAGCTGCTGCTGTAGCACCATCAGCTGCTGCTGTAGCACTGTCACCTGCTGCTGCTGCTGTACCACGGTCAGCTGCTGCTGCTGTACCACGGTCAGCTGCTGCTGCTGTACCACGGTCAGCTGCTGCTGCTGTACCACGGTCAGCTGCTGCTGCTGATGCTGCTGCTGCTGATGCTGCTGCTGCTGCTGCTGCTGATGCTGCTGCTGCTGCTGCTGCTGTACCATGGTCAGCTGCTCCTGCTGCTGCACCACGGTCAGCTGTACTACTCAAAGATGTGGAGAGACTGTTGTTGGTGTGGCTTATCGAGAATACCGAGAAACAATTAACCCCCAGAGGGTTAGCCACCCAGGATACCCCAAGAAAGTCAGTGTGTCATCGAGGACTCTAACTTATTTCCATTGGGGTCCTTAATCTTGTCCCCCAGGATGCAACTCACACCAGTCGACTATCACCCAGGTGAACAGGAAAAAATGCTTGGAACTAGTGCTCATATTGGTGAATTTAATGCCAGCAATGGTTGGTTTGAGAGATTTAAGAACCGTAGTGGCATACACTGTAATAAGGCCTGTTCTGGAAGAAAATGCCAAACAGGACCTACATTACTCAGGAGGAAAAGGCACTCCCAGGACACAGTGTCTCATCACTCATCACCACATCTTCAGTAAAGGTAAGTGTCATTTATTCTTCATTTAGTACACTAGTACATCACACACTAGTACGTGCACAGTATATATTGTGCATGTATCCTTCTTTTCGTGTATAGGAAAATGTATATTTCATGTGGTAAAAAAAAAAATTTCATACTTTTGGGTGTCTTGAACAGATTAATTTGATTTCCATTATTTCTTTTGGGGATAATTAATTTGACTTACAATAATTTCTTCTTACGATGTGCTCTCTGGAACGGATTAATATCGTAAGTCGGGGTCCACTGTACTTGCAACATCTGCCACATCGTTCCCCTATCCACTCCATCATATGCCTTTTCTGAATCCATAAATGCAATGAAAACTTCCCTACATTTATATATATATAGTTCACATATATGCTTTAATGTAAACACTTGATCTACACATCCCCTACCCACTCTAAAATCTCTTTGCTCATCCGCAATTCTACATTCTGTCTTACCTCTAATTCTTTCAATAATAACCCTACCATACACTTTTCCTGGTATACTCAGTAAACTTATTCCTCTATAATTTTTACAATCTCTCTTGTCCCCCTTCCCTTTATACATGCTCTCTGCCAATCCCTAGGTATCTTTGCCTCTTTCATACATTTGTTAAACAAAAATACCAACCACTCCAGCACTATATCCCCCCATGCTTTTAACATTTCTGCCATGATCCCGTCAGTTCCAGCTGCTTTACCCTTTCATTCTACCTAATGCCTCACGCACCTCCCACACACACACATCTTGCTCTTCTTCACTCCTAAAAGATGGTATACCTCCTTGGCTAGTGCATGAAATTACCACCTCCCTTTCTTCGTCGATATTTAAAAGTTCCTCAAAATATTCCCACCATCTACCCAATACCTCCATTTCCCCATCTACTAACTCCCCTACTCTGTTTTTAACTGACAAATCCATTCATTCCCTAGGCTTTCTTAACTTGTTTATCTCACTCCAAATTTTTTTTCTTATTTTCATCAAAATTTCTTTACAGTGCCTCTCCCACTCTGTCATCTGCTCTCCTTTTATACTCTCTCACCACTCTCTTCACCTTTCTTTTACTCTCCATATACTCTGCTCTTCTTATAACGCTTCTGCTTTGTAAAAACCTCTCATAAGCTACCTTTTTCTCTTTTATCACACCCTTTACTTCATCATTCCACCAATCACTCCTCTTTCCTCCTGCATCCACCCTCCTATAGCCACAAACTTCTGCCTCACATTCTGATACTGCATTTTTAAAACTATTCCAACCCTCTTCAACCCCCCACTACTCATACTTGCACTAGCCCACCTTTCTGCCAATAGTTGCTTATATCTCACCCGAACTTCTTCCTCCCTTAGTTTATACACTTTCACCTCTCTCTTACTTGTTGTTGCCATTTTCCTTTTGTCCCATCTGCCTCTTGCTCTAACTGTAGCTGCAACTAAATAATGATTCGATATATCAGTTGCCCCTCTGTGAACATATACATCCTGAAGCCTACCCATCAACCTTTTATCCACCAGTATATAATCTAACAAACTACTTTCATTACATGCTATATCATACCTGGTATATTTATCCTCTTTTTCATAAAATATGTATTACTTATTACTAAACCTCTTTCTTCACATAGCTCAATTAAAGGCTCCCCATTTTCATTTACCCCTGGCACCCCAAATTTACCTACTACTCCCTCCACAACATTTTTATCCACTTTAGCATTGTAATCCCCAACCACAAATACTCTCACACTTGGTTCAAAACTCTCCACACACTCACTCAGCATTTCCCAAAATCTCTCTCCTCTATGCTTCTCTCTTCTCCAGGTGCATATACACTTACTATAACCCACTTTTAACATCCAACCTTTAATTTACTCCACATAATCCTTGAATTAATAAATTTATTAATTCCTGCCATAGCTTATCCTTCAACATTATTGCTACTCCTTCTTTAGCTCTATGTTTGAAACCCCTGACCTTATCCCATTTACTTCTCTCCACTGAAACTCTCCCACCCCCTTCAGTTTTATTTAACTTAAAGAAAGGACATCCAGCTTCTTCTAATTCATGACATCCACAATCATCTCTTACTTATTCGCACAACATCCACACATATTCACACATCCCACTTTGACAATTTTCTTCTTCTTACTTCTAGTAATCTGTACAGGAAAAGGGGTTACTAGCCCATTGTTCCTGGCATTTTAGTTGATTTTTACAACACGCATGGCTTATAGAGGAAAGATTCTTATTCCACTTCCCCATGGATATAAAAGGAAAAGTAATAAGAACAAGAACTTTTAAGATAAAATAAAAAAAAACTCAGATGAGTGTGTATAAATAAACCTGTACATATATGTGTAGTGTGACATAAGTGTAAGTAGAAGTAGCAAGACATACCTATAATCTTGCATATTTATGAGACAGACAAAAGACACCATCAATCCTACCATCATGTTAAACAATTACAGGCTCTCGTTTTACACTCACTTGGCAGGTTGGTAGTACCTCCCTGGGTGGTTACTGTCTGCCAGCCTACTACCTATAGATTAATTGTAAGTCTTCTTTCAACACACCGGCCGTATCCCACCGAGGCAGGGTGGCCCAAAAGGAAAAATGAAAGTTTCTCCTTTTACATTTAGTAATACATGTATATACAGGAGAAGGGGTTACTAGCCCCTTGCTCCCGGCATTTTAGTTGCCTCTTACAACACGCATGGCTTACGGAGGAAGAATTCTGTTCCACTTCCCCATGGAGATAAGAGGAATTAAACAAGAACAAGAACTAGAAAGAAAATAGAAGAAAACCCAGAGGGGTGTGTATATATATGCTTGTACATGTATGTGTAGTGTGACCTAAGTGTAAGTAGAAGTAGCAAGACGTACCTGTAATCTTGCATATTTATGAGACAGACAAAAGACACCAGCAATCCTACCATCATGTATAACAATTACAGGCTCTTGTTTTACACTCACTTGGCAGGATGGTAGTACCTCCCTGGGTGGTTACTGTCTACCAGCCTACTACCTATAGATTAATTGTATGTACTTACATTAATTCATATGGGAATTATTATTTCGGTTTTCGTCCTTTTCGGATTTAGGCCGGCCTTCTGGAATGGATTACAGCCGATAGCCAGGGGTCCTCCACTGTATTACTGTTTTTCCATTTTTAATTCTTTCTCTCTTTTTTTTTCTTTTACACACTGGCTGTCTCCCACTGAGGTAGGGTGACCCGAAAAAGAATAAACATTTTCACCATCATTCACTTTATCACTATCTTGCCAGAGAAATGCTGATTCTACAGTTCAGATACCCCTCCAAACAGCAGATATCAAAAAACCCTCCTCCAGGATGTAGTAATTGTACTTCCAACCTCCAGGACTCAAGTCCAGCTACCCAGTTTCCCTGAATCCCTTCATAAATGTTACAGTGTTCACACTCCAACAGAACATCATCATAAAAACCACTCCTATCTAACATACACACATACATGCTTGTATGATGTTCAAGCCATGATTACCCTAATTTACATTTGCAGATCACCTGTGGCTTCTGAGACTTTAAGTCTGGATGAAGTGTCACTGCAGGAAGGAATAGGCTCTATTCCCTCTCTGTGTCCATCTCCACACTCACCTTCCATGAGTGGTGATGAGGAGTCAGTGAGTGAGCCAGACACTCCCACTCCTCTTGCTGCTGCTTATGCTGCTTCATCAGGATCTGCCACAACCAACATTAATATTCCAAAATGTGGTTCAATTGGTGTTTCTGTGATCAAATCTGCTGGGGAATATTCTACTTCACTTCCCGACTTCCGCTTAGATAAAGATAGATTTATCACCAGTATTGACATTGGTGAAAATAACAAAGATTCTTTAAAAACTTCTTTTAGAGGTGCAGAAAATCAGGATTCAAAACATAAGTTAGATTTTGATCATAACATGTCAGATGTTTGTTGTGAGAGTGTACTTTGGCTAGCAGGAAGGTTAGGTCCAGTTCTCACTTCCCGCTATGTAACAAGGAATCTTTTAAGAATGCTCACACTGTGTTATCTGCCAGACTCAGGTGCTCTAGCCCCAATACCCATGGATCCATTAGATGAGCTCTCTGTAACAAGAAAGCGCATTCTTGGTGATCATTATGCAAAAAAAGTACTCCATTGTCTTTCAGAAATTGCTTGTAAGTATGCATTGCTATGATTTATTACGTATTTTTAGAGTTTCCTTAGGTTGAGTTGTGCATGTGGGATATCAGAGGGATTTATTTCTTGTATGATGTCTTTTGAGTTTCGCTTAGCTCCTCATTATGTCCTTAATCTGGGCTAGCATTACTATTCAAGAACTGACATATGTGAAGAGCACTGTAATACTGGTCACATGATAACAGTCCAGGATGGATTGAATTATCTTCTAGTTTCCTCAACAAATTGTATACTTTTGAAGTGTAATTGTAGCCCCCATTTGTGAGAGTCAGATTCCTAAAGGTCTTGTGACCCTTGAATTAGAGGGTTAGGGCTTGATCTGAGAAAGGGGAGGGTAGCTCATATTCCTTGTACCAAGAGCCCTTTAACAGTATCTAAATACTGTATAATTCTCACAGCCTAAAAAAACCTTTGTTCAGATGATGATATCAGTCTGGTGTGTAGATGAATAATTACTTGATACTAATTTTAATTTTCTTTTTCTTATTCATACCAAATTCTCTCAAAAATCCCCATAGTACCTTCTGTTGCTTTTTATCAAGCAGTTGAAGTTTAAATTTATTGCTTCCGAAACTGGTTTACTCATGATCATTTTAACCCTTTGAGGGTCGACAGGCCCTCTCCGAAACTCGTTCTCAGGGTCGGCCAAATTTAAAAAAAAAAAAAAATAATTTTCTCTTATGAAAAGATAGAGAATCTTTTCCCGATCATAAGGACACCAAAAGTTTGAAATTTGATGGAAAACTTACGGAATTATGCTCTCACGAAGTTAGCCGTCTCGGGGATATTTACGCATCGGCGATTTTGTCCATTTTGAGCCCCATTTTCGGCCAATTCCACTGTACTAGTCGACAAAAAACATGAATATTTTGCTAGAACTCCATTTTTTCTATCGAATGGGTGCAAGAAACCATCCATTTATGAAATTCAACTATCCAGTACAGTGGTCAGAATTTAGCAATTTTGCCAATTTCATACAAATTTCAAAAGATGCCAATTTCTGAATAGGGTCCAGAATAAACAAGAAAGACATTCCTGGCACTAAAATGACATTTCCTCTGATCATTAGTCATGTCTCAAGGCCCCTCTTATATTCTTTTGCTTTCCACTTTGAATTTTTATTCTCACAAAAAATATAAGATTTACTGTTATGCAGACTACTGCATTAGTGTAAAAAATGGTATAAATATTATTGGCGCACTCGTGAAAGAATATTAGACTCACCAGTTGACGTGTATTGGACCATTGGCACGATTTGTTTACTTTTGAAATTTGGTAAAAATCGAACATTTCTGCTACTTTGAGCTCAATTTCAAGGTATCTTTCATTGTAAAACCAGTCAAAATCATCTCAATTTCTGTAATATGTCTTCCATTCTATAAAATGAGACCAAGAAAACTAGAATACAACAATAAATACCATACAAAAATACAGTGCAAAGTCGCTGTTTTATTCCAAAAAAACGGTCAAAGTTTTTTTTTTCTCATTATGCACTGTGTGCTGCAGGATTTTTTTTAGACTGTGCACACTGACCACATAGACCCATTCTTTCATATGAAGGCCTACCAGCTTTCTCCCACTAGATTTGAGGGTGCTAGAATTTAGGCTTACTAGTACGTCAAAAACCCTGGGTCGTAAGCTGTACTAGTACGTCCGAAACCCTCAAAGGGTTAAGGTTCCTCTCCTAAGTGCAGGTTATTTGTGAATTGTTCTAGTATTGTTCATAGTATTATGACTTTTTTATTATTTGGACTGCATGTTTGATTTAGTTTAAAATATCTCCTCTGCTCCCTAAAAAATTACAAAGATATTGCTTACAAACACTGTTCATCCAGAGTGTCACATACATGTTGGCCATCACTAATCCAGAATCATTGGGACCTGTAGGGTGCCTGATTAGTGATTTTGCCAAATTACATAGAGTGGTTAGGTTACAGGTTATTTGTGAATTGTTCTAGTATTGTTCATAGTATTATGACTTTTTTATTATTTGGACTGCATGTTTGATTTAGTTTAAAATATCTCCTCTGCTCCCTAAAAAATTACAAAGATATTGCTTACAAACACTGTTCATCCAGAGTGTCACATACATGTTGGCCATCACTAATCCAGAATCATTGGGACCTGTAGGGTGCCTGATTAGTGATTTTGCCAAATTACATAGAGTGGTTAGGTTACAGTACACTTAACCCAACGGTAATATTTATGCATCAACAATTTCACCCACTTTACAGCCTATTTTTGGCTCATTCCTTTGTTCACTAGTAGTCCTTCTATTCTGTCGATTGAATACAAGAAACTGCCTATTCACCTATTTCAACTATCCAATAAAGCGGTCAGAAATTGGTAATTCAGCCAATTTCACACAAATTTCAAAAGATGTCAATTTCAAAATAGGGTCCAGAATAAACAATGCAAACATTCCTAGCACTAAAATAACATTTTCTCTGTTCATTAGTCATGTCTCCAGGCCCCTCTTGTATTATGCTTGCTTTCCATTTGGAATTTTTATTCACACAAAAAATAGAAGATTTACTGTTATGCAGACTACTGCATTATTGTAATAATTGTAGCAATAATGTCAACCCATTTGTGACTGCATATTATACTGGCCAGTTTGACATGTATTGGACAGTGACGTCATGCGTTTATTCTTGAACATCGGCAAAAATCAAGCATTTCCGCTACTTTGAGCTCAAGTTTTAAGGTACTGTACTTTCTGGTGTAGAACCAATCAAAATTATATCTATTTCTGTAATATATCTTCCATTCTATCAAATAAGACCAAAAAAAACAAGAATACAACCATGCGAAAATATACTGCAAAGTCGGGTTTGCACCATAAACACAGTCGCATTTTTTCTCATTATGCACTGTATGCTGCAGGATTTTTTTTTTATATAGTGCACACTTACCACACAGACCTATTCTCTCATATGTAGGCCAAAATTTACTGGTCACAGCATACCTGAGTGAGCTGAGCTCATGGTGACCAACAGTGGCTTCAAAGCCACTTTGTCTTTTATGGACAGTGTATGGTGTATGTGCTCTACACAATGAGAAACATTCTCATGTGTAGGCCAAAATTTACTGGTCGCAGCGTATCTGAGTGAGCTGAGCTCATGGTGACCGATAGTGGCTTCAAAGCCACTTTGTCTTTTATGTACATTGTATGGTATATGTGCTCTACACAATAGAAACATTTCTTTTATTCGTTGGAACCATGGCCAGGGCTAAAAGTGAGCAGGTTATAACAATAAATGGAGAAAAAAAATTGGAATCACTTATGCAGCAAGTAGCGCCACCAAACAGTAGCGGCAGGTTGGCGTGGTGACCCTGGAAATTTGAAATTATACAAGCCGAAATTGGTGCCGGATAACTAATGGAACCGGATTACTGATTGCCAGATTAGTGATGGCCAACCTGTAGTATTTTTAATACAGCACTGTGTATAATTTACTGTAATTCAGTTTTTATTAGTATTCAGTAATAGAAGGTAGAGCTATAAAATGTACACTGTATTGTTTTTACTTTTATTATATTTGTTAGCTTGCATCATGCCATTTTAATGTGTGAATTATTATTGAAACAGGCTTGTATGGTGAACAAGTTATTTTACTTCAATACTTGTGTCACATCTGTGAGTTGGTGGCTTCTTGTCGACGCAAATTGTCAGCAACTATGGAAGGAGGTCTTTTGGGTGCCATGGCTCTCTTACAACATCTTTTGCCGTACCTTACTGACAGTACGTTCATGGAGCACTTGCAGGTTTGTGGTATACATTATCTTTTATTTTTTTTCTGTATTCACATTAGCTTCCTGAAAGTAATGGCTTTATTTACAGTGAGTGTGAGCAGGGTAATATTTAGTGAAGGGATTCAGGGAAACCGGTTATTTTTATATAGCCAGACTTGAGTACTGGAAATAGGAAGTACAATGCCTGCACTTTAAAGGAGGGGTTGGAATATTGGCAGTTTGGAGGGATATGTTGTATATCTTTATATGTATATGCTTCTAAACTGTTGTGTTTTGGGCACCTCTGCAAAAACAGTGATTATATATGAGTGAGGTGAAAGTGTTGAATGATGATGAAAGTATTTTCTTTTTGGGCATTTTCTTTTTTTTTGGGTCACCCTGCCTTGGTGGGAGATGGCCAACTTGTTGAAAAAAAAAATATGTATATATATATATATTATATATATATATATATATATATATATATATTATATATATATATATATATATATATATATATATATATATATATATATATATATACATATATATACACACACACACACACACACACACACACACACACACACACACACACACACACACACACACACACACACACACACACACACACACACACACACACACACAGTGGAACCTCAAAAATCGAACTGCTCCCAACACAACCAATTATGTAAGTGTATTTTTGTAAGTGCTTTTATAAGTGTATTTTTGAGGGTCTGAAATGGGCTAATCTAATTTACATTATTCCTGATGGGAATAAATTCATTCGGTAAAGGCACTCGAACAGCCTTCTGGACTGAAGAAAGTTCGATATTTGAGGTTCCACTGTATAATGACCTTCCAGAGGAGATCAATTCCTGTCTCTCTCAGTTTGTGATTGATACAAAACTAATGAGAAGAATAAGAACAGGAGAAGACCTCAACAGACTACATTGTGGGAAAACAAGTGGCTTGCCAAGTTTAATTCAAACAAATGCAAGGTCATAAAAATTGGAGAATGTGAGGTTTGACCTAAAACAGTACAGCAGGGGCAGGGAGAAGCAACAAATATCAGAGAGTGAAAAGGACCTGAAATTCACGTAAATTGGGTAATAACAGAGGCATTTGCCAGGTTATCAAGCCTCAGAATAATATTCAGGTATCTGAATAAATAATCCTTCAGAACCTCGTATATGACATACATTAAGTTGTCATTGAGTGTGCAGCCCCAGCATGGAGCCCACACCTGATCAGATATGGAAACGTCCAGAGATTTGGTGCTAGGCAAGTACCAGAACTGAGAAAGATGAACATAGGAAGTTGAAGGATGAACACCCACCCACACCCACCCCCACAAACCCACCCACACCCACTCCCACAAGCCCACCCACACCCACCCACATGCCTATACCCACACACCCACACACCTACCCACACACCTACCCACACACACCTACCCACACACACCTACCCACACACACCTACCCACACACACCTACCCACACACACCTACCCACACACACCTACCCACACACACCTACCCACACACACCTACCCACACACACCTACCCACACACACCTACCCCCACACACCTACCCCCACACACCTACCCCCACACACCTACCCACACACACCTACCCACACACACCTACCCACACACACCTACCCACACACACCTACCCACACACACCTACCCACACACACCTACCCACACACACCTACCCACACACACCTACCCCCACACACCTACCCCACACACCTACCCCCACACACCTACCCACACACACCTACCCACACACACCTACCCACACACACCTACCCACACACACCTACCCACACACCCCCACACACCCACATACACCTACACACACCCACACATATCCACACACCCACACATATAAAATACTGTGAGGAATTGACAAGGTGGACAAAGACAGAATGTTCCAGAAATGGGACACAGAAACAAGGGGTCACAAGTGGAAGTTGAAGACTCCTATGAGTCAGAGGGATGTTAGGAAGTATTTCTTCAGTCATAGAGTTGTCAGGAAGTGGAATAGTCTAGAAAGTGACATAGTGGAGGCAGGAACCATACATAGTTTTAAGATGAAGTTTGATAAACCTCATGAAGCAGGGAGAGAGAGGAACTAGTAGCAAACAGTGAAAGGGTGGGGCCAGGAGCTATGACTCGACCCCTGCAACCACAAATAGGTGAGTACACACACACAGAAATATGTGCGCACACATGCCCATGTATGCATGTCTTTGCTCCTGGTAAAAGAATGAATTTCATGTATTATTCACATGTATTTTATTATCATGTATAGAAATGACTGACAAGTAAATTTTTAATTTTTTAGGCAAATATTGCAAGTCATGCTCCTTAAATTTGAACATGTTATTGTAATAACACTCAAAGAAAGTCAACACTTTGTATTCTTTTGTAATCATAATTGAGGTTTTTCACATAAACTTTTATTCATTTGATAGTTCTTACATTTCAGGAAACTCTAATTCGTAATGCAGTTTACCCTGTAATTCGTCTCTTATCATCAACCAAAGTCAATTTTCCGCATGGTGGAGCAGCCCGGGGTGTTCTAGCTTGTAGAGTTATTGACTGCCTCTTTATTATGGCATTGAGAGTGGGACGTGAGATGAGCAAAAGCATTTTGATGCCCACTATTACCAGACTCATGACGGCATTTGATAAATGCCACACCAACTCTTCAAGTCAGCTCAGAGCATCACCAAGGTAAATCTTTTTTACATTTTTTTTTAGCACATCAGCAGTTTCACACAATTTCAGTTGAGCCAAATAAAAACATATTACCATCACTCAATCTCTAGTTGAAGAATAGAAGACTTTAAACTATGTTTCAGTCCACCCTGGACCATTATCACACCACAAGTGAGAAAAAATAGAAAGTAAACTAGAAGATGGGTGAGGTGAAGAAAAATCAAGAATATAGGTCAGAAGAAAGTCAGATAAGTAAAGAAAGTTCCAGAAAACAGATCACTTTAAAAAATATCAGAAAATAGGTCAGGTGAAGAGAAAATACCAGAAGACAGGTCAGGTGAAGAGGCGAGAAGGCCAGTGTTAGGTCAACTCATGTTCGCTCTGAACTTTAAAACATTTGACACTGCATTAAGAAAGACAAGCATCAACAGAAACAAAATTATAACTTAAAATTAATGTTAGGAATATTGTGTATAAGAGGGATAGGAAGTTTTGGCAAATAACCAGTTTATACAGCAAAAACCTTTATTTCCAAAAAAATTTAGTACATTGTCTTACAAGATTATTTTGGGCAAACTAAGAATTTAAGACTAACAGAACATACCAGACATAAAATGCATTATGAATATATATTCAGTAGGGCCCCACTTATATGGCAGGTTAGGTTCCAGGCTACTGCCGGAAAGGGGACATCGCCAGAAAGCTGAACGCCATTTGTTTCCACTTATAAATGTTAGTTAACCCTTTCAGGGTCCGTCCCGTAGATCTACGGCTTTATGTTCAGGGTCCAAACCGTAGATCTACGCCATGAGCTCAGCTCACTCTGATAAACTGTGAGTGGTACATTTGGGCCTAAATATGAGAGAATACATCTATGTGGTATGTGTGCACCACATAAAACAGATCCTACAGCACACTGTGTATAATGAGAGAAAAAAAATGAAATGATTTTTCGATTAAAACAGCAACTTTGCAGTGTTTTTTCGTATGTTTTTTATAGTTGTATTTCCGATTTCTTGGTCTCATTTGATAGAATGGAAGACATATTACAGAAATAGAGATGATTTTGATTGGTTTTAGCACTGGAAATGGCTTGAAACTGAGCTCAAAGTAGCAGAAATGTTAAATTTTTGCCGATATTCAAGAGTAAACAAACGACCTCACACGTCTAATACACATCAGCTGGTGAGTCTAATATACATTCACAAATATGGTGATGATATTTATACAATTATTACAGTATTGCATAACAGTAAATCTTCTATTTTTTGGTGTGAATAAAAATTCATTGTGAATAAAAAATCAAAATGGAATTTATTTGTAAAGCCTCAAAACATAACTAATGAACAGAGGAAATGTTAGTTTAGTGCCAGGAATGCTTACATTGTTCATTCTGGACCCTATTTTGAAATTGGAATATTTTGAACTTTGTGTTAAAATGGCCAAATTAACAATTTCCGATCACTTTATTTTGTAGTTGAAACAGTTGACTTGGCGATTTCTTGTGCTCAATCGATAGAATAGAAGTAATACTAGTGAAATAGCTAAGAATTTGGTTGACTGGAATAATGTAATTGGCCCAAAATGGGAGTCAAAGTCGGCAAAATCGCCGATTCGTAAATATCGCTGACACATCAAAATTCGCGAGAGCATAATTTCGTCAATTTTCCACCAAATTTCGTACTTTTTGTTTTATTACCTTCACAAAAAGATTCTCTACGATTTCATAAGAAAAAATAACAAATTTTTTTTTTGAAAATTCTTGGACACTGGTGCGTGACTCCAGATTTGGGCCTTGGACCCTGAAAGGGTTAATAAGTTTACACTAACATATATTAACCCTTAAACTGTCCAAACGTAGATCTATGATCACGTGCGTAGCGCTCTGACCTTAATTGTCTCCATTTGAAAGCATGTGAAAAAACATAGATCGACATTTGGAGCACTACGCACGTGAACGTAGATCTAAGTTTAGACATTTTAAAGGTTAAGTTAGCAATAGAACAAGGCATTAAAAAACAAAAAAAATACACACACAGTACACTCATTACTTACCTCAAAATGTTTGTAGTCTTAATGTAGGGTGAGAAGTGAGTAGTGTGTATTTTCAGAAGTTAGGTGTGGTAGGTCTGGCAGCCAGCTAGGCCACCCCTCCCTGCCCACACATAATATACTTTGACATTTAAAGAGCCCTAGAGCAATAAAATGCATTTATGGTACACTCATTACTTTTTTTTTTCTAACAAGTCGGCCGTCTCCCACTGAGGCAGGGTGACCCAAAAAGAAAGAAAATCTCCAAAAAGAAAATACTTGCATCATCATTCAACACTTTCACCTCACTCACACATAATCACCGTCTTTGCAGAGGCGCCCAGATACAACAGCACATCTTCTTTCAACAAACCGGCCATATCCCACCAAGGCAGAGTGACCCAAAAAGAAAAACCAAAGTTTCTCTTTTTGAATTTAGTAATTTATACAGGAGAAGGGGTTACTAGGCCCTTGCTCCCGGCATTTTAGTTGCCTTTTACAACACGCATGGCTTACGGAGAAAGAATTCTGTTCCAATTCCCCATGGAGATAAGAGGAAATAAACAAGAACAAGAACTAGTAAGAAAATAGAAGAAACCCCAGAGGGATGTGTATATATATATGCTTGTACATGTATGTGTAGTGTGACCTAAGTGTAAGTAGAAGTAGCAAGATGTACCTGTAATCTTGCACATTTATGAGACAGACAAAAGACACCAGTAATCCTACCATCATGTAAAACAATTACAGGCTTTCGTTTTACACACTTGGCAGGACAGTAGTACCTCCCTGGGTGGTTGCTGTCTACCAACCTACTACCTCTAACAACAGCATATATAAAGATATATAACATACCCCTCCAAACTGCTAATACAGTGGTCCCTCGTTGTTCGTAATTAATCCGTTCCTGCAGCTGTTACTATAAACGAAATTTACGATTTACGCATCAATTTTCCCCATAAATAATGTAGATATAATTAATCCGTTCCTGACACCCAGAAGTATTAAAACAAAAAAAATTTTAACATGAAATATACATGTAGTACATAAACAGTACAATGGGAAATGATGAATGAAACATTAACAGCATAACACTTACCTTTATTGGAGATTCTTCTTAGTGTATGGGAGACTGGAGGAGGAGAGAGAGTGGATTGTTTATAGTTTGGAAGGGGAATCCCCTTCCATGAACACCTCAGGTACCATTTGCTTTTCTGGGGTTGCTTCTCTTCTCTGTTTCTTAATGCCACTAGGACCACCTTGAGAGTCACTAGAGTCCTGTCTCACAAAATAACTGTGGAGAGATCTCTGTTTCTGGCGTCTCTTTAACACTTTCCTAAAATGGCCCAAGACTTTGTCACTGTACATGTTGCCAACTTGGCTTGCAACAACCTTGTTAGGGTGATGTTTCTCCATAAAGCTTTCCATCTTACCCCACATAGTAAAAATCTCTCTAATTTCTGAAGAAGGCACCTTCTTCCATCTCTCTTCCTCCTCCTCTGCAGCAAGATTCTGAGCTGCGATCTGTTGCTCTTCCTGCTGAAGCTCTTGCAGCTCCTCAGTGGTGAGCTCTTCATTGTGGTCTTCCACCAATTCTTCCACATCCTCCAAACTCACATCCAACCCCATGGAACTCCCCAGTGCCACAATTGATTTTACAACAGACATAGGCTCATTAGGGTCAGTCCCAAATCCTTCAAAATCCCTCTTGTCGACATAATCTGGCCACAATTTTCTCCAGGCAGAGTTCAAAGTCCTGGTAGTCACTCCCTCCCAAGCCATACCTATAAGGGTTATGCAGTGGAGGATGCTGAAGTGTTCTCTCCAAAATTCCCTTAGGGTCAAGTGAGTGTCTGTGGTCACAGTCAAGCACCTGTGAAACATTGCTTTTGTGTAGAGTTTTTTAAAGTTTGCAATAACCCGCTGGTCCATGGGTTGGAGGAGAGGAGTGGTATTCGGGGGCAAGAACTTTACTGTGATGAACCCAAACTCCTTGAAAATTAGGTCATCCAAGTTTGGAGGATGAGCAGGTGCATTGTCCATTACTAGCACGCACTTGAGATCCAATTTCTTTTCCAGGAGATACTCCTTCACACTAGGGCCAAACACTTCATTGAACCACTTGACGAAAATTTCCCTCGTGACCCATGCCTTACTATTAGATTTCCAAAACACACAATTTACTCTTCATAACATTGTTTTTCCTGAACACTCTGGGATTTTCAGAATGGTACACTAGTAATGGCTTCTCTTTGAAATCCCCTCTAGCATTAGCGCAGAACATTAGCGTCAGCCTGTCTTTCATAGGCTTATGTCCTGGCATTGCCTTTTCCTCTTGTGTAATGAAGGTCCTCTTTGGCATTTTCTTCCAAAAGAGGCCTGTTTCGTCACAATTGAACACTTGTTCAGGTTTCAGTCCTTCACTGTTTATGTACTCCTGGAATTCATGCACATATTTTTCAGCCGCCTTGTGGTTCGAACTGGCAGCCTCACCATGCCTTACCACACTGTGTATGCCAGTACGGTTCTTAAATCTTTCAAACCAGCCTTTGCTGGCCTTAAATTCACTCACTTCACCACTATTTGCAGGCAATTTCTTTACCAAATCTTCATGCAATTGCCTAGCCTTTTCACAAATAAACGAAGTCATAAGAGTATCTCCTGCTAATTGTTTCTCATTTATCCACACCAATAATAACTTCTCAACCTCTTCCAGTACTGGTGGTCTCACTTTTGTCAGCATAGTTACTCCCTTTGCAACAACAGCATCCTTTATTTCATTTTTCTTGGCTACTATGGAACATAAGGTTGTGTAGGGTTTCATATACATCCTGGACAGTTCGGCCACACTTGTACCACTTTCATATTGTTCAATGATGGTTTTCTTAAATTCAATCGTATTTCTCACCTTCTTTACCACAGGCTTGGCACTAGGAGCTTTCTTTGGAGCCATGGTAGCTTATTTAGTACTTGCAAACACTAAAATAAATGGAATATTATGAAATATTTCACTGGAGCACGCGAGGGGACCTTCGCTCACTGGTAAACAATGCCAGACTGGCTGCCGCCCTGGCTCACACCGTGCGTACGCGTCCCGGACGAACTACGACTCGCGAGTCAACCTATGAAAAGCGAGTCCATGTTTATACGAAAATACCCCTATGATTGGCGAATTTTACGATTGCCGGGAACTACGAAAAGCGGGGGACCACTGTATCTGAAACCCCTCCTTTAAAGAGCAGGCATTGTACTTCCCATTTCCAGTACTCAAGTCCGGGTATATGAAAATAACCAGTTTCCCTGAATCCCTTCATTAAATATTACTCTGCTTACACTCCAACAGCTCGTCAGGTCCCAAAAACCATTCGTCTCCATTCACTCCTATCTAACACGCTCACATAAGCTTACTGAAAGTCCAACCCCTTGCCCATAAAACAACCTTTACCCCTTCCCTCCAACCTTTTCGAGGATGACCCCTCCCCCTTCTTCCATACCCTACAGATTTATACGCTCTCCAAGTCATTCTACTTTGATCCATTCTCTCTAAATGACCAAACCACCTCAACAACCCCTCTTCAGCCCTCTGACTAATACTTTTAGTAACTCCACACCTCCTTATTTCCACACTTCGAATTCTCTGCATAATATTTACACCACACATTGCCCTTAGACAGGACATCTCCACTGCCTCCAACTGCCTCCTCGCTGCAGCATTTGCAACCCAAGTTTCACACCCATATAAGAGTGTTGGTACCACTATACTTTCGCACATTCCCTTTTTTTGCCTCCATGGATAACATTTTTTGTCTCCACAAATACCTCAATGCACCACTCACCTTTTTTCCTTTATCAATTCTATGGTTAACCTCATCCTTCATAAACCCATTCGCTGACAAGTCAACTTCCAAATATCTGAAAACATTCACTTCTTCCATACTCCCTCTCTCCAATGTGATATCCAATTTTTCTTTATCTAAATCATTTGATACCCTCTTCACCTTACTCTTATCTATGTTTACTTTCAACTTTCTACCTTTACACACCCTCCCAAACTCATCCACTAACCTTTGCAACTTTTCTTTAGAATCTCCCCTAAGTGCAGTATCATCAGCAAAAAGTAACTGTGTCAACTCCCTTTTGTATTTGATTCCCCATAATTTAATCCCACCCCTCTCCCCAACACCCTAGCATTTACCTCCTTCACAACACTATCTATAAATATGTTAAACAACCATGGTGACATTACACATCCCTGTCTAAGACCTACTTTTACTGGAAAGTAATCTCCCTCTCTCCTACACACCCTATCCTGAGCCTCACTATCCTCATAAGCACTTTACAGCATTTAGTAACTTACTACCTATTCCATACACTTGCAACATCTGCCACATTGCTCCCCTATCGACTCTATCATATGCCTTTTCTAAATCCATAAATGCAATGAAAACTTCCTTACCTTTATCTAAATACTATTGACATATATGCTTCAATGTTAAAGCCATCCTAGAAAACACCTCAGAGTTGCTATTGTAAACCAAACTCAAGGCCAGAGTTTTTCTTTTCCCATCATTCACCATGTGGGGGCAGGATTTTTTTTACACGGTGTATACTTTCCACACAGACCCATTCTCTCATGCTTAGGCCACACTTACCATTCACAGCTGATCTGAGCTCAAAATTTAGATCTATGTAAGCCCCCCTGGCATCAGTAACATAGATATATTGATAAGACAATGAAAGGGTTAATACATGGTCAGATGCTTTAATCTTCATGTGTTTTGACTTGACCTTCTATTTACCTCTTCTTACCTCTTTTGACCTATTTTTTGGTATTTCTTCACATGGCCTCTCTCATCATTTTTGTTACTGGACCTGCCTTTTAACTTTTTCCTTGCTTTTTTCTCCTGACATATTTTCTGGCCTTTTCTACTGGATTCCTTGTTGTAAACAGACCAAAAGAAATTATGCTTGCTTAACCACTAAAAAATTAAAATTTTTGATAGACATTAAAGAAATACAAGGGTAGGTGTCCATGTACACGATAGGCTAATCCATCATCTAAAGTTTCCCTTCCAAAGTGTAGATTAGTTGTGAAGTCCTTATTGCCATTACAGATGTTTGAATGTTGTGGGTCAGCGAGTTGTTTGAATTATAACATATGTAAACTTCAGGAAAATCTTTTTTGATGAGTTGATAATTACCTGATACATAGAAGAAGGCAATGCAGAATTTTAAACAGAGGTATAGGTGTCTCATACTTTATGCAATAGATGTGTTCCAGTGCCATGTAGCTGCAGTAATCTCAATCATTTCATTTTGCTAACTCCATTTATCATGCAATATTGAATAGTAGAAATCCAGCATTGCATAAAATTGAATTAACAAATAGTGAGTCTGCTTAAAGCAAGGGATTATTTTTTGTAACTGGAGACAAGTTTATACAATGTACTGTATTGTATTTCCAGTCACATTCCATTGTAAAGTTAAAAGGTTTGAATGATTGTTTGGGATAGATGACTGTTGTGGATACGGAATTAAATAGATTGAATAGTGTGAGGAATTCCTGTAGGATAATAAGACATAATATCCAGTAAGTGCTAAGGGCAGAAAATTGAGAAGTGCTAAAGTTAAGGTGCATAAACATGCAAGAGTTACATTTATTAAGCTGTAGTGCAAAGTAATAACAAGAAAGAATGTTTGTGAAGAATGATGATATGTGTTAATGTCATATAATTACTCATTTGTATTACGTAGTTGTAGCTACAATAGCAAAACTATACTTGTAATGCACCATCATCATTGATATTTTCGTAATGTAATTTTTGAATGGTTGTAGCACTTACTATATACTCTTTCAATTTATTCCAATCTTCCGTAACTTTGTAAAGGAAAATTTCCAAATATCCTTTTGGCTCCATTTTTTTTCTTTAATTTTACATCTATGGCTTCTTGTTATTCCCGTTGAAACTACTACAGAAACATCTTTATTCTTTCATATCATTTTGTAACCTTATACATATGTTGTTATATTTCCTCTTTTCCAGTATTCTTATGAACATAAAAAAGTTCAGTACCTTCCTTTGTACAGTGTGTTCATATTGCAACATTTAAATGCTGTTGGAATTTTAAATACTATTTGTGTTATATAGATTAACCTGTAGCTTTTTCTGAATGAAATTCTTTTCAGATCACTTGAGGCAGAAGAAGTGTTAGGTGCGAGTTATGAGCCTTCTTTATCTGATGACCTCCAAGCATCTCCTGGATCTAATATTGACTCTGTCAAAGCTAAGGTGAGAGCATTTAAAGGTGTTCTTTATCTTAACTAAGACATACTTCACTTCAATTGAATTAAAAGACTATGCACTAGTAAATACAAAAAAATCAGTTGTGAACCATAAATTCAATGACTGTTTGACCATTTTTTTATTTGCACTGAGATAGAATGATCCAAAAAGGAAGAATCACATTCATTGTCATTCATTTAATTGCTGTCTTGCCAGAAGTGTACAGACATCACAGTAAACATGGCCTCCCTGAACTGCAACATCATCACCCTTTCTTTGTATATTTATATTAACAATAATGTGTTAAAAACATTGACTATTTTTTACCAATAGTTATTCTACTAAGCACATTACTGCAGTGATATTATTGTGATATCCAAATGGTTAAGTAGTTAATCTTCATTATGATAAAACAATTAGCCAATACAATTTGTTTTTCACATTTATATAAACCTTTGTGAAAAAAGTACTTTCAAATTTAGAATCTTGCTAATATGAAGTTCAGATTCTTATAACCTCAAATTCCCTCTGGGTACATAATTTACTTTAGAAAGATATGAGAGAGAATCTTAGGCATTAGCATACATATAATAAATGTTTCTGCATTAATAAGTTACAACTATAAAATCAAAATGTTCTTGCAATCCTCAGCTCATAAAGTAAAATGATCAGTTTACAACTGCACTGCATGTAAGAGAAATAGCCACCCAAGTGCTTTTGAGTATCAGTATTAATTAAAAGACAACAATGGGAATATTAGCCCCTTGACTGTCGCAACCCCCAATCCTGAAGTGTCTCCTGGTGTCACAAAATTTAAAAAAAAAAAATTATTTTTTCTTATGAAATGATAGAGAATCTTTTCTCGAATGCAATGACACCAAAAGCACGAAATTTGATGGAAAACTGACGGAATTACGCACTCGCGAAGTTAGTGACCTCGGCGTTATTTACAAATCAGCGATTTCGCGCACTTTGAGCCCTATTTTTGGCTAATTCCATTGTTCCAGTCGACCAAACTCAAAGCTATTTCTTTAGAACCCCATTTTTTCTATCGATTGAGTACAAGAAACTGCCCATTTACCAATTTCAACTACCCAATAACGTGGTCAGAAATTTGCAATTTGGCTGATTTCATGAAAATTAAAAAATATGACAATTTCAAAATAAGGTCCAGAATGAACAATGCAGACATTCCTGGCTCTAAAATAACATTTTCTTTGTTCATCAGTCATGTCTCCAAGCCCCTCTGATATTACTCTTGCTTTCTATTTTGAATTTTTATTCAAACAAAAATTAGAAGATTTACTGTTATGCAGACTACTGCAATACTGTAATAATTGTATAAATAACATCAACCCATTCATGACTGCATATTAGAATGGCTAGTTGGGCATTTATTGAACAATAACATCATTTGTTTACTTTTGAACATCAGCAAAAATTAAACATTTCCCCTACTTTGAGGTCCATTTCCAGGTTCTTTTTGTAGCAAAATCAATCAAAATCACCTCTATTTCTGTAATATGTTTGCCATTCTATCAAATGAAACTAAGAAAACGAGAATACAACCATAAATACTATACGAAAATAGACCACAAAGTCGGCATTTTAATTAAAAAAAACAGACGGAGTTTTTTTTTTCTCATTATGCACTGCATGCTCCAGGATTTTTTTTATATGGTGCACACTGACCACACAGACCCATTCTCTCACATGTGGGCTTACCAGCTTTCTCCTGCTTGATTTGAAGCCGCTAGAATTTATGAGTATATATACGTCAAACACGGTACCTCGTAAGACGTATATATACAACCTCGACAGTCAAAGGGTTAACATAAATTTTATTGTCACAATACTCGCATTGTGGGCAGACAAGAAAAATAACATATGAAGAGCACTTGTGCAGCTGTTTGCATAAGGTTTCACTTTAGTGATGAGCAAGCTATGACTCCAGATACAGTAAATTATTACAGTATCATGGTGTGGTAAACAGCAACTATTCAAGAAGGTACTACTGTCCAGTCTTGATTGTGAACCAAAACCTTGTTAAATGTTTTGCATACTGGCAGGATTGTTGATATTTTCTTTCTGTCTCAGAGACATGTAAAATGGCATGTAAAATTTGCACATTTCTACTTACATTCAGTATGTACACTTATTTTCATATCCTGTGTCTTTATTAATAATTTTTATTCCTGTAGCACTTAATTTCCAATTTAGGAGGCCTAGGCTGAGACTCAGCTGTGGGAGCAATCTCTGGAACCATTAACAGATATGGCAGATACACTCCAAGTGATGTTTATTTGAGCACTGGGATAGGGTGTTACCTGTATTTAACCTACCCAGTAGATTACAAAAAGCTCAATTTTTTTTTTTTTCTAGGCTTTAGAGGAACTGAAGCAGGTGCTGACTCCTGAACTAGCCTACCTCTCATATGTTCCACTGTGCAGGTTCTTGGGAGCATCATACATGGAGGCAACACTGCCCAATCATGACCTGTTAAGATCTCTCTGTCTTCAGTATGATGAGAACAACCAAGCCAATCAGGCTGCAGGTGAAATGCATTGTATACATCATGTCCAAAACAAAATCATAGATTCAAGGTTACTTTTGCAGATAAAAATTCTTTTGTCTATGTAGTATTTTCTTAACCCTTTGGCTGTTTTGGTCGTATATATACGTCTTAGGAGCCACGGTTTTTGACGTACATATACTCATAATTTCTAGCGGCTTCAAATCAAGCAGGGGAAAGCTGGTAGGCCCACATGTGAGAGAATGGGTCTGTGTGGTCAGTGTGCACCATATAAAAAAAATCCTGCAGCACGCAGTGCATAATGAGAAAAACAAAAACTCCAACCGTTTTTTTAATTAAAATGCCGACTTTGTGGTCTATTTTCATATAGTATTTATGGTTGTATTCTCGTTTTCTTGGCCTCATTTGATAGAATGGAAAACGTAAAGAAATAGTGGTGATTTTGATTGGTTTTACTATGAAAAGAACCTTGAAATGGAGCTCAAAGGAGGAGAAATTTTTTTATTTTTGCTGATGTTCAAAAGTAAACAAATGATGTCATTTTCCAATAAATGTCAAAGTATCCATTCTAATATGCAGTCATAAATGGGTTGACATTATTTATACAATTATTACAGTATTGCAGTAGTCTGCATAACAGTAAATCTTCTATTTTTTGTTTGAATAAAAATTCAAAATAGAAAGCAAGAGTAATATTAGAGGGGCCTGAAAACGTGACTGATGAACAAAGAAAATGTTATTTTAGAGCCAGGAATGTCTGCATTGTTCATTCTGGACCCTATTTTGAAATTGTCATATTTTTTAATTTTCATGAAATTGGCCAAATTGCAAATTTCTGACCACGTTATTGGGTAGTTGAAATCAGTAAATGGGCAGTTTCTTGTACTCAATCGATAGAAAAAATGGGGTTCTAAAGAAATAGCTATGAGTTTGGTCGACTGGAACAATGGAATTAGCCGAAAATAGGGCTCAAAGTGGGCAAGATCGTCGATTCGTAAATATCGCTGAGGTCGCTAACTTCGCGAGAGCGTAATTCTGTCAGTTTTCCATCAAATTTCGTTCTTTTGGTGTCATTACAATCGGGAAAAGATTATCATTTCATAGGAAATTTTTTTTTTTTTTTTTAATTTTGCAACACCAGGAGACACCTCAAGATTTGGGGTTGCAACAGTCAAGGGGTTAACTAGCCAGCTTACATTTTAGTCTGCAATAAAAGCATGTGATTAAGCTCAAGTGTCAAGATAGTCACCAATCATAGATTACTGAGCACAAAAAAACTACAGTAATTCAAAAGGAGATCAGTAAATCATAAACAAGCAGAGATATTGGCAGTTTTTATCTCATAATAACTAGCCAGTTAGTTTTCTAAAATGATATTTTTATAAATGTTTCATGATATTATAAATGTTTCATGTTATTATTATAAATGTTTCATGATACTATTATAAATGTTTCATCATATTTTTATAAATGTTTCATCATATTTTTATAAATGTTTCATCATATTTTTATAAATGTTTCATCATATTTTTATAAATGTTTCATGATACGGTGGAACCCTGGTTTTCGTCTTTAATCCATTCCAGAAGGTCGGCCGAAAACCGATTTGTACAAAAACTGAAGTACATGTAATGTTTCCCATAAGAAATTATATAAATCCAATTAATCTGTTCCAGACACCCAAAAATATTAACAAAAAATACATTTTATAGAGAATAACTGTAGTTTTACATACAGAAAACAATGAGAAATAAATATAAAACACTAATGCAATGGATAAATGAAAATTTTAATCAATTTTACCTTTATTGAAGACTTGTTGGCGAATAGAAGATGGCAAGGAGGGGATAGGGAGGAGAGGTTATCTCTACCACCATCACTACCACCCTCTACCACAATCACTACCACCTTCCACCACCATCACATCTACTACCACCATCACTACCACCATCACTACCACCCTCTACCACCATCACTACCACCCCGTACCACCATCACAACCACTACCACCCTCTACCACCATCACTACCACCCTCTACAAGTAACAAAGGCAGATTGAGTCACGAACATATAAGCAGCTGCGTCCAGCGGGCAGGCGGACCCGTCTGGGACAGACTATTTCCAAGCGGATGTACGAAAACGGGGAAAATTTCACCAAAAAAAGTGGTCAAAAACTGAATTGTACAGTAACCGGACCGGACAAAAACCGTTGTTCCACTGCATTTTTATTAACCCTTAAACGGTCCAAACGTATATATACGTTCACGCGCGTAGCTCCCCAAACATATAGATACGTTTTCTTTGTCATTCATTCAACATTGCCACAATAAGCCTGAGTCACCTAGACATGAGATAATGGGTGTGCGCACTCACTGTGTGCCATATTAAAATAATTGGGGATGCCTGGGTACCATATGCTCTTTTTTCCTTTTAAAAGAAAAGAATTTTTTTTTCCTCAAAAAATTTGGGGCGCTACGCGAGTGAACATATATATACGTTTGGACCATTTAAGGGTTAAATGTTTTGTGATATTTATATAAATGTTTCATGATATTTTTTATGTTTCATGATATTTTTATAAATGTTTCATGATATTTTTATAAATGTTTCATGATGTTTTTATAAATGTTTCATATTTTTATGTTTCATGATATTTTTATAAATGTTCCATGATATTTTTATAAATGTTTCATGATGTTTTTATAAATGTTTCATATTTTTATGTTTCATGATATTTTTATAAATGTTTCATGATATTTTTATGTTTCATGATATTTTTATAAATGTTTCATGATATTTTTATGTTTCATGATATTTTTATAAATGTTTCATGATGTTTTTATAAATGTTTCATGATGTTTTTATAAATGTTTCATGATGTTTTTATAAATGTTTCATGATATGTATAGAAATGTTTCATAATGTTTTTTACCAAAAATTTTTTATTGTTATTTGGCATCACTTTGAAGTTTTTGTTTTGCACCCGTCCATCTGTGCCTTTTCCACTCCTTCCTTTCCTTGACACCTTTCTGCTTGCAAAATGTTCAGTGGAAGTAATTATTTAAAGAGACAAAAGATAATGCTCATCTAATACAGTAATATGTTTTAGTTATTATAATAATAACGAAGTACACATAATATATATAGGATTATGTGGAGTAAAATAAAGGTTGGATGTGAAAAGTGGGTTATAGTAAGCGTATATGCACCTGGAGAAGAGAGAAGTGTAGAGGAAAGAGAGAGATTTTGGGAAATGTTGAGTGAATGCGTGGGGAGTTTTGAACCAAGTGTGAGAGTACTTGTGGTTGGGGATTTCAATGCTAAAGTGGGTAAAAATGTTGCTGAGGGAGTAGTAGGTAAATCTTGGGTGCCAGGGTTAAATGAAAATGGGGAGCCTTTAATTGAGCTATGTGTAGAAAGAGATTTGGTAATAAGTAATACATATTTTATGAAAAAGAGGATAAATAAATATACAAGGTATGATGTAGCACATAATGAAAGTAGTTTGTTAGATTATGTATTGGTGGATAACAGGTTGATGGGTAGGCTCCAGGATGTACATGTTTATAGAGGGGCAACTGATATATCGGATCATTATTTAGTTGTAGCTACAGTTAGAGTAAGAGGTAGATGGGACAAGAGGAAGGTGGCAACAACAAGTAGGAGGGAAGTGAAAGTGTATAAACTAAGGGAGGAGGAAGTTCGAGTGAGATATAAGCGACTATTGGCAGAAAGGTGGGCTAGTGCAAAGATGAGTAGTGGGGGGATTGAAGAGGGTTGGATGAGTTTTAAAAATGCAGTATTAGAATGTGGGGCAGAAGTTTGTGGTTATAGGAGGGTGGGGGCAGGAGGAAAGAGGAGTGATTGCTGGAATGATGAAGTAAAGGGTGTGGTAAAAGAGAAAAAGTTAGCTTATGAGAGGTTTTTACAAAGCAGAAGTGTTATAAGAAGAGCAGAGTATATGGAGAGTAAAAGAAAGGTGAAGAGAGTAGTGAGAGAGTGCAAAAGGAGAGCAGATGATAGAGTGGGAGAGGAACTGTCAAGAAATTTTAATGAAAATAAGAAAAAATTTTGGAGCGAGTTAAACAAGTTAAGCCTTGGGAAAGTATGGATTTGTCAGTTAAAAACAAAGTAGGGGAGTTAGTAGATGGGGAGAGGGAGGTATTAGATGGCGAGAATATTTTGAGGAACTTTTAAATGTTGAGGAAGAGAGGGAGGCGGTAATTTCATGCACTGGCCAGGGAGGTATACCATCTTTTAGGAGTGAAGAAGAACAGAATGTAAGTGTGGGGGAGGTACGTGAGGCATTACATAGAATGAAAGGGGGTAAAGCAGCTGGAACTGATGGGATCATGCCAGAAATGTTAAAAGCAGGGGAGGATATAGTGTTGGAGTGGTTGGTACTTTTGTTTAATAAATGTATGAAAGAGGGGAAGGTACCTAGGGATTGAAGGAGAGCATGCGTAGTCCCTTTATATAAAGGGAAGGGGGACAAAAGAGATTGTAAAAATTATAGAGGAATAAGTTTACTAAGTATACCAGGAAAAGTGTACGGTAGTGTCATAATTGAAAGAATTAGAGGTAAGACAGAATGTAGGATTGCGGATGAGTGAGGTTTCAGAGTGGGTAGGGGATGTGTAGATCAAGTGTTTACATTGAAGCATATATGTGAACAGTATTTAGATAAAGGTAGGGAAGTTTTTATTGCATTTATGGATTTAGAAAAGGCATATGATAGAGTGGATAGAGGAGCAATGTGGCAGATGTTGCAAGTATATGGAATAGGTGGTAAGTTACTAAATGCTGTAAAGAGTTTTTTATGAGGATAGTGAGGCTCAGGTTAGGGTGTAGAAGAGAGGGAGACTACTTCCCGGTAAAAGTAGGTCTTAGACAGGGATGTGTAATGTCACCATGGTTGTTTAATATATTTATAGATGGGGTTGTAAAAGAAGTAAATGCTAGGGTGTTTGAGAGAGGGGTGGGATTAAATTATGGGGAATCAAATACAAAATGGGAATTAACACAGTTACTTTTTGCTGGTGATACTGTGCTTATGGGAGATTCTAAAGAAAAACTGCAAAAGTTAGTGGATGAGTTTGGGAGTGTGTGTAAAGGTGAAAATTGAAAGTGAACATAGAAAAGAGTAAGGTGATGAGGGTATCAAATGATTTAGATAAAGAAAAATTGGATATCAAATTGGGGAGGAGGAGTATGGAAGAAGTGAATGTTTTCAGATACTTGGGAGTTGACGTGTCGGCGGATGGATTTATGAAGGATGAGGTTAATCACAGAATTGATGAGGGAAAAAAGGTGAGTGGTGCATTGAGGTATATGTGGAGTCAAAAAACTTTATCTATGGAGGCAAAGAAGGGGCTGTATGAAAGTATAGTAGTACCAACACTTATATGGGTGTGAAGCTTGGGTTGTGAATGCAGCAGCGAGGCAGTTGGAGGCAGTGGAGATGTCCTGTCTAAGGGCAATGTGCGGTGTAAATATTATGCAGAAAATTCGGAGTGTGGAAATTAGAAGGTGTGGAGTTAATAAAAGTATTAGCCAGAGGGCTGAAGAGGGGTTGTTGAGGTGGTCTGGTCATTTTGAGAGAATGGATCAAAGTAGAATGACATGGAGAACACTTAAATCTGTAGGAGAAGGAAGGCGGGGTAGGGGTCGTTCTCGAAAAGGTTGGAAGGAAGGGGTAAGGGAGGTTTTGTGGACGAGGGGCTTGGACTTCCAGCAGGCGTGCATGAGCGTGTTCGATAGGAGTGAATGGAGACGAATGGTATTTGGGACCTGACGATCTGTTGGAGTGTGAGCAGGGTAATATTTAGTGAAGGGATTCATGGAAACCGGTTATTTTTATATAGCCAGACTTGAGTCCTGGAAATTGGGAAGTACAATGCCTGCACTCTAAAGGAGGGGTTTGGGATATTAGCAATTTGAAGGGATATGTTGTGTATCTTTATACGTATATGCTTTTAAACTGTTGTGTTTCTGTGCACCTCTGCAAAAACAGTGATTATGTGTGAGTGAGGTGAAAGTGTTGAATGATGATGAAAGTATTTTCTTTTTGGGGATTTTCTTTCTTTTTTGGGTCACCCTGCCTCGGTGGGAGACAGCTGACTTATTGAAAAAAAAAATTGATATATAGGCCATAGATAAAATTGTTGATGAAAGTAATGTCTGCATTACAGCTAGAGAGATCCAGAAAGAATAAAACAGTGTAATATTGAGACAGGAACAGTACACAGATAATCTACACACAGTAGAATGAAACTTATGATGATGTTTCAGTCTGACTTGGACTATTAAATAGTTATCAATTAATGGTCCAAGTCAGACCAAAACATTGTCATAAGTTTCATTCTCTTATGTGTGGGTTATATGGCCCAACTTGGGTATTTGTGCAATGTGTGGGTTATATGGCCCAACTTGGGTATTTGTGCAATGTGTGGGTTATATGGCCCAACTTGGGTATTTGTGCAATGTTCCAGTCACAGTATTGTGCCTTTTTATTTGCTGTGTGTAAGTTATTTGTGTAGAGAGTTCAAGTATCATTCCCTACTGCCATGTATATTCTATAAACTATAATTTTATAGTCAGTAATTGACAATATTTTTCTGAAAAGCAGTGCTGTGTGTAAAATGAAATTCTTAAGTATAGAAGAATTGGTTTATCCTGTTTTAAGAACTAAATACATAATTTCTTAATAGTATTGACAGATGATGGCTTGGCATTAAGCAACTCTACGAGCTTAGCAGATGATACAAATGGAAGGAAAAACAGCACACGCAGCACCAATGTAGCCATGACGGGAAACAGGATTGACATTAGGGTCAGTGATATACATTTTGCACTTGACCTATATATACAATAGAGTAACTATCTGTATTTTGTAGCATACCCACAGAGTGAGAGAGTAATGTATTATATCTTGGTCTCATACTGAGACTCCTTCCAAGAGAAACTAAAAGGGAAGATATTTACATTTGTTAATTTTTTGAGGTAGAGGAAGGCCCGAATCCTATACAGCTTTTAAATTTCGTGACCCCAAACAACAAGTGAAAATCACTTGCCAGTAAAAAAGAGCGGTTTTTTTTTAATTATCAAATGATTCTAAAACACCTGATGATGTGTTTACACTATCATATATTAAGTGCTCATTATAGTTAGAAATAAAAAAAACAGATACAGTAAAATAAATACAAAGTACATACAACACTTACCGTAAAATATGGCACTTTTCGTCCTCCCCTTACACAACTGTTGTAAGAAAATGGGGATAGCAGCAGAAAAGCCATAAAAAACAGAACATGATGAACAATGGCTTAATTGAAAGCCAACGAAAACGTGGAACACAGAAAAGTGGGAGCTGTATATGCAGGGGCCCTTCTGTATGGTACTAATGTGTTACTTGTGTTAGCTTTGAATTTAAAGAGGAATAAAATTCACATTACTGTCATAGCTCTATACTTATTGTAATAGATAACATTAACAGTAGTAGCACTATATTTATTGTAATAGATAACATTAACAATAGTAACTCTATACTTATTGTAATAGATAACATTATCAGTGGTAGTTCTTTACTTATTGCAATAGATAACATCATTATGTGTGTCATAAGAGGCAACTAAAATGCTGAGAGCAAGGGGCTAGTAACCCCTTCTACTTTATAAATTACTAAATTTAAAAAGAAAAACTTTGGTTTTTCTTTTTAGGTCACCCTGCTTTAGTGGGATACCGCCAGTTTATTAAAAAAAAAAACATGACCAGTAGCAGCATTATACAGTCATCCCCCCATATTCGTGGGGGATATGTTCCAAGACCACCATGGATACCTGAAACTGTGGATTGTAGCAAACCCTGTATATGAGTCATTTTTCCTTTACATTTATAATTGTGATAAAGTTTAATTGATAAATTATGCAAAATAAGTCTCGAATTAACACTGATGGGAAGCATTTCATGGCTTCTCTTAGGTTTTGAAGAGCTGTTAGCATTACTAATTTTGCACTTTGGAGCCATTATTAGACTGTGGAGCCACAGTAAACTGTGGATAACTGAAACCATGGATACTGACTCCACAGATACAGGGGCTCTTCTGTACTTATTAATAGATAACATTATCAGTAATAGCTCTATACTCAAGGTAACAGATGACATTATGTACATGTATTAGTACAGTAGTGGCTCTGCACTCTAGATAACTTTTTTTCTCTCGTTTAGCTGTGGATGTTAAAGAGCAACTTTTTTCCTAACCACTATTGGAGGGCTCACCAAATTCTCTTCTACCCATGCCTTGACATTAGTTAAGGAATGGGTTAATGATTGCAAACCCCTCCATGGTTTGAATAGCATATAAACCAATTTCTGCTAGACTAATCCCAGGCCATTACACAAAATGTTGTAAGATTTAGGGCACATAATAACTTACCCCTGATAATGATCGTGTCCAAGCTAACTTCATCAGGAGATATGGGGGACCGACATTGCTTCATCCAATAGCTGTAACACAGATGAAGGCTGGTTTCCAATATTGTACTTTGCTGCATTGCCCAACTTGCTGCCCACTGCTTTACCTAACCTGTATCTTAGTAAAGGAGGACCCTATTTGTATAACTCTTCGATAAGTGAAAATTGCCAGTGGGTGGAAAATAGCCTTTTTTTTTTTTTCATTATCGAATGCTTCTAAAATACCTGATAACATGTTTACACTATTGTATTAACCCTTTGACTGTCGAGGTTGTATATATACGTCTTACGAGGTACCGTGTTTGACGTATATATACTCATAAATTCTAGCGGCTTCAAATCAAGCAGGAGAAAGCTGGTAGGCCCACATGTGAGAGAATGGGTCTGTGTGATCACTGTGCACCATATAAAAAAAATCCTGGAGCATGCAGTGCATAATGAGAAAAAAAACTCCGACTGTTTTTTTTAATTAAAATGCCGACTTTGTGGTCTATTTTCGTATAGTATTTATGGTTGTATTCTCGTTTTCTTGGTCTCATTGGATAGAATGGAAAACATATTATAGAAAGAGAGGTGATTTTGATTGATTTTCCTATAAAAAGAACCTGGAAATGGAGCTCAAAGTAAGGAAAATGTTTGATTTTTGCTGATGTTCACAAGTAAACAAATGATGTCATTGTCCAATAAATGTCCAACTAGCCATTCTAATATGCAGTCATGAATGGGTTGATGCTATTTATGCAATTATTGCAGTATTGCAGTAGTCTGCATAACAGTAAATCTTCTATTTTTTGTTTGAATAAAAATTCAAAATAGAAAGCAAGACTAATATCAGAGGGGCTTGAAGACGTGACTGATGAACAAAGAAAATGTTATTTTAGAGCCAGGAATGTCTGCATTGTTCATTCTGGACCTTATTTTGAAATTGTCATATTTTTTAATTTTCGTAAAATTGGCCAAATTGCAAATTTCTGACCACGTTATTGGGTAGTTGAAATTGGTAAATGGGCAGTTTCTTGTACTCAATCGATAGAAAAAATGGAGTTCTAAAGAAATAGCTATGAGTTTGGTCAACTGGGACAATGGAATTAGCCGAAAATAGGGGTCAAAGTGGGCGGAATCGCCGATTTGTAAATATCGCCAAGGTCGCTAAATTCGCAAGTGCGTAATTGTCAGTTTTCCATCAAATTTTGTGTTTTTGGTGTCATTACAATAGGGAAAAGATTCTCTATCATTTCATAAGATTTTTTTTTTTTTTTTTTTTTTTTTTTTTTTTTAAATTTTGCGACACCAGGAGACACTTCAGGATTGGGGGTTGCGACAGTCAAGGGGTTAAGTGCTCAATACAGCTACACATAAAAAAAAGATAAAGTAAAATACCCAGTACAGTGGTCCATCGTTTTTCGTAATTAATCCGTTCCTGGAAGTGTGACTGTTATCGAAATTGACGATTTTCGAATCCATTTTCCCCATAAGAAATAATGTAAATCCAATTAATTCGTTGCAGACACCCAGAAGTATCAACAACAAATTTTTTTTTTTACCTTAAAGATAGATTTACATGCACAAAAGAATGAACATTCAACATAACAGTTACCTTTATTGAAGGCTGTTGTTGATGAATGGAAGACAGGGAGGAGGAGAGAAGGAAGAGAGGTTATTGTTTGGAAGGGGAATCCCCCTCCATAAGACTCTAGATTACTTCAGGGGTCACTTCCCTAGCTTAAATATAGATTTACATGCAGAAAAGAATGCAAAATAAATGTAAAGCACTAATAAAATATATAAATGAACATTGGTAATAGGGGTAGCTGATGAGTGGAACAGTTACCTAGTAGGGTGATCGAAGCTAAAATATTGGGTAGTTTCAAATTTAGGTTGGAAAAATACGAGTGAGAGGGGTTGGTTTGAATCGGGCTTGCACATGACTAAATAGGTTTATCAAAGCTTATTGCTTGGGAAGTAGTTATGCTGTTAGTGGGTTGGATTTGTGAAGGACTGGCCTTGTATGGGCCAACAGGCCTATTGCAGTGTACCTCCTTTCTTATGTTCTTATGTTCTAAAAGCTATGGCTTCGGTAGTTTCAAATTTAGGTTGGATAAATACATGAGTGAGAGGGGTTGGATTTGAGTCGGACTTGCACTTGAGCTTATTGCTTGGGTAGCATTTGTTCTGTTAGTGGGTTGGATTTGTGAAGGACCTGCCTAGTATGGGCCAGCAGGCCTGTTGCAGTGTTCCTCCTTTCTTAAGTTCTTATGTTCTTATTTAACATCACACTTACCAGTAGGGTGATTGAGGCTAGGACCTTGGGTAGCTTTAAAAAGAGATTGGACAAATATATGAGTGGGAGGGGCTGCGTTTGATTTGTGTCATTGGGTACGGGAGTAAATTCTTGGGTAGCTTTGGGTAGAGGTCATTTTGTTAACGACCTGCCTTGCATGGGCCAGTAGACCTTCTGTAGTGTTCCTCCATTCTTATGTTCTTATGTTGGTAGATAAGACACATGGGCAACATTTAGGCAACTTTATTCCGAAACGTTTCGCCTACACAGTAGGCTTCTTCTGTCAAGTACAGAAAGTAGGCGGGAGTAGTAGAGATGTGAAGACGATGTAATCAGTTCATTTTATGTTCTTAGTGGGAAGGATTGTAAAGGACCTGGCTAGTATGGGCCAACAGGCCTGCTGCAGTGTTCCTCCTTTCTTATGTTATTATTGAAGACTTGTTTGTGTGAGGGAGGGATGGCAAGTTTATTGTTGGAGAATATGACACTAATATCAACTCTATGGCTTATTTATCTATCACAATTCAATACATAGCTCTTGTTCTTCTTTATTTCTTCTATTGTCCATGGGGAAGTGGAAAAGAATCTTTCCTCCGTAAGCCATGCGTGTCGTATGAGGCGACTAAAATGCCGGGAGCAATGGGCTAGTAACCCCTTCTCCTGTAAACATTTACTAAAAAAGAGAAGAAGAAAAACTTTATAAAACTGGGATGCTTGAATGTGCGTGGATGTAGTGCAGATGACAAGAAACAGATGATTGCTGATGTTATGAATGAAAAGAAGTTGGATGTCCTGGCCCTAAGCGAAACAAAGCTGAAGGGGGTAGGGGAGTTTCGGTGGGGGAAATAAATGGGATTAAATCTGGAGTATCTGAGAGAGTTAGAGCAAAGGAAGGGGTAGCAGTAATGTTGAATGATCAGTTATGGAAGGAGAAAAGAGAATATGAATGTGTAAATGCAAGAATTATGTGGATTAAAGTAAAGGTTGGATGCGAGAAGTGGGTCATAATAAGCGTGTATGCACCTGGAGAAGAGAGGAATGCAGAGGAGAGAGAGATTTTGGGAGATGTTAAGTGAATG